GGCCATTCGGGGGATATGTATATGCCCCGCTTTCAAGGTGTCACAATAGACACGTTCGGGACCAGAGATCATAGCCATGGTCATGGTCAGTCATGCATGCATTCTGCATGCATGCTTTTCATGGTAGCGCTCCAGCGCTCACCAAAAAAAAGAGTTTGCTCGCAAGGTGATACTTGTGGTATGAGCTAGTCATTAGACTCATCAATTAAGCATGTCTGTCTCAATGCTTCATGCAACAATAGTGCACCGGCAGGGTTGCTGGTAGACAGTGGGAACGGCAATAAAGGGAGCGAGGAGCGTGAAGCTCTCAATGTGGCCGTAGAAACCTCATCAGAGGGTTCTTGTCTGGGCAGCTGCTTCGCTGGAGTGCGACCAGGATCTGAGACAAGCCCTTCGCGCATATTCGCAGATGCCAGGTCTAGAGCAATCGGATTAGCTGCGGGCTTGTTGGAAAGGACAACAGGTTAGAACAACAACAGAGTTAACTTGTCGACATCCTATCAACTACCCATCCATTTCCAGAGCAGCCGCGTGAGCTGTTTGCGATGGATTGGCTTTCCAATGTAATCACTCATGCCCTTGGCCATGTACATCTCCGCGTCACCCTTGAGCGCATTGCCGGTGAGCGCGATGATCGGGACGTCCAAGCCCATTTGCCGAATCTGTTGAGTGGCCTCGACACCATCTAGGATCGGCATGTTGATATCCATGAGGATTAGGTTGTAAGCAAACGGTTGTTGCTTCACCAGTCGTACTGCTTCCGCACCATCCCATGCAGCATCAACCCGCGCAAAGCCCATGCTCTTGAGAAGCTTGAGCATAACCATTTGATTCACCAGGTTGTCCTCGACGAGCAGCACGTACTTCTGGGGTGCAAGGGCCTGGATCTTGGCTTCGACATCGACGACGTTTTCCACGAGAGGACTGAAAGTCCTCAACGGTACCTTGAGATCCACCCGACGCATCTTCGTCGTCATCCAGAACACACTGCCACGACCTTCCGGATTCGGTCGGAATCCCACGCTTCCGTCCATAAGCTCCGCCAAGCTCTTGCAAATTGACAAGCCAAGGCCTGTGCCCTGATATCTTCTTGTGTTTGAGTCAGCAAAGCGGGTAAACGGCGTGAACAGGGAGCTATGCGCATCCTCTGGGACCCCCACTCCTGTGTCGAAGACTTCCGTGGTGATGTTAAATACAGTCGGATCAGCCATGTCCTCAGCAAAAGAGGTGTAAATCTTAACATAGCCGCTGTCGGTAAATTTGACGGCATTTCCCACCAAGTTCTGAAGCACCTGGCGGTAGCGCAGAGGGTCACCCTCAACCTGCAAAGGAAACCCCGGGGTGATGTAACTGCTCAGCTCCACGTCGGGCTTTAAAGTGCTTTTGCAATTACGCAAAACAGCCCCAGTGACGTTGTCGATGCTGAACGCATCGGGATGTAATGAGAAAGAGCCAGACGATAGTTTCGAGTAATCCAGGACATCATTGATGACCTGTAATAGAAGCGAAGTCGAGTCCTCGATGATAGCAGCGTACTCACGCTGACGCTCGGTCAGGCCCGCTTCCATGAGTGTCGTTAGGGCGAGAAGCATTCCATTCATGGGTGTACGGATCTCGTGGCTCATGTTGGCCAAGAAGTCGGTCTTCAGCTTGGATGACTCTTCGAAAGCAGCGATCATGCGTGCCTCCGCCGCATTGCGCTCCGTCAAATCACGCGTGACCTTGGTGAAACCAATGTGCCGACCGAACTCATACATTGGAGTGATCAAAACATTGGCCCAGAATCGCGATCCATCTTTCCGGTACCGCCAGCCTTCGTCTTCAACCTTGCCCTCTCGGAGACAGACAACCAGTTCCTTTCCCGGCTTGTCCGCAAGTCGGTCTTCCTTCCCGTAAAATGTAGAGAAGTGCTTTCCGATAATGTCCCGGGCGCTGTATCCTTTTAGTATGGCGGCACCGGAATTCCACGTCACGATATTGCCTCGCGTGTCCAGCATGAATATGGCGTAATCCTTGACTGTGTCCAGCAGCACCTTGTAGGTATCGTTAACATAGGAATGGTGGTTATTGGTAGGGTTGGAGAATTTCTTGATTATGGAGTGCGCTTCGAGTACCATGTAGAGTAAAGTGCTCTTCTCGTAAATCGGTGTAATGCGAAGTGAGTAGTACGAGTTCGGTTCGTCCAGGTGGATGTTGTCGACCAGTTGAATGTCCCGCGATGTGATTGCTGCTCGGAGCGCACCATACAATGTGGCGATATCGAGGGCTGGGATGACACGGGGACAGATATCGCAGATAAAGCTTTCGAGTACCACATCCCTGGGCAAGCCTGCAAAAGACAAATGTGAATCCGAAACCTCCACGACCTGCAAGGAAGCATCCAGCACGACGGTTGGGGTGGGTGTAAGTCGATAAATGCGACTTAGAGCATGATCAAGCGGCTGCCGATTTGCGCCGCTGTCTGCGCGCTGGGCGACATCACTCTGCGCCGGTTTCGAAGATTCTTCGCGGAGTTTCATGTGGTCTAGTTCGTCATCTTCATCCTCATCTGGGGGAGTTGTGACCATGGTAAAATTGAGTGGTGGTGCTTGGTTCTTGTTCTCGATGCCGAGGCGAAAGAGCCGCTTGTTGAGATCCATGCTGAACCACACATGGATGAACAGCGGCCTAATGTAGGAGAGGGGAGGGAATGAGGAGAGAGGGGTGTTGAAGCAACAATGGGGAATGGAGGAGGGATACAAGACAGGTGATTACAACAACGTATAGTTGAGATAGAACAAATAGGGTGTAAAGGCAGAAGAGAAGAGTAAAAGGGAAGAGGAAGAGGGTGAAGAAGGGCGAGGCGGCGAAAGTGGCTTATAGAGACAGATGGAAAGAGAAGTGGGTATGGTGGGGATGGCAAGCAGAGGATCCTCTTTTCCGACTACTTGCGTTCGCAGGGAAAAGAGGGAGGGGGAAAAAAAGGGACAGAAAAAAAAACCTTGAATGAGAAAAGGAAATCAATGAAGAAAAGAATCGTGGCAGATTGGACTGGATGAATGGATGGAGTGGATAGGAACCAGGAAGTCGAGAGAGAAGGTGTGGTAGGTAGAACAAGACAAGACCAGACAAGAACAAGAGAAAGAGAGGGAGAGAGTCAAGGTAAGGTAAGGTAAGGAAGGGTAAAGGTTAGAATGGAACAGACGCAGACAAACTACCTCCTAGTAACACCACCACCGACGTCAACAGTGAGCCGTCAGAAGACCGGATCGACCAACCACTGGACGGAAGCGAAGCCCGACAGCCGCGGGGGAGAAATTAGTAAGATCCTGACTAAGTCTGGCCTTTTTCAATAGGGAAAGTAACTACTAAGAAGGTAGTTACCTAGTAGTAGGCAGGTGGTGCAGTGTGGCAGGCAAAAGTAAGTCGATCAGCCGCCAGTCCGTGGATCCTTTTAGTGTAGTATACGAGAACACAAATGGAGAGGAGGAAAAGCAGAAAAAAGTAGCAGTAGTGATGATGATGTTGACGACGAGGACGAGGAGGATGATGCCGATGATGGATGAATGGTACTTTCCGTACACTAGTTAGTGAATAATAACAAAAATCATGCAATCACCACCGATATGAGGCGCGAAAAAAAGCACTAGACCCCAGTATTATATCGATTGTCAATTATCAATTATGCAATCAATCAATCAGTCAATCAGTCAATTTATCGATCGGGAATGTTGCCCTTGACTTCTCGCCTGTTTTAGCCCGTGGTGATTTGCCCTGGACGCCTCATTCTTTATATTGGATCATGATCAATGGATGGTTCTCGGTAAACCAACACCAAAAAACCATTACAAGAAATTAATACCAAATTAAATGGAAAGATGGAAATTATATGAAATAAGATAAGAATAATAAAAAAAGAAAATCAAAATGCCCCAGTATATAATAATACAGAGAGGAGGATAGAAAAATAGGCCACCACCAGCCTGCAAAAGGGAGGCGGGGGCAAAAAAATGGATAATGGATGGATGGATGGATGGATCGCCATTTGAAAATGGTCAGCCAGTCAGTCGCTTCTCACATTAATGCTCACCCACGAGTCAACTGGGATCAGGTTGAAGATTCCGGTTTCATAGAGTGGGAAACTCGGGTCGTGACCAAGGCAGGGCAGACGCTTTCCCACTAGCTTGCTCCAGATCTGACCTCATCTGCGCCTGTAGGCGGACGGCCAGAACCCAACAGGCCAACTGAGAGCCCGGCCCGGATTCCCCTTGCAGTCAAGCGCCACTGGATGATTCCCCGGTCAGGCTCAGCCTGAAAAAAAAAAAAAAGAGAAATAAAAAGATTAAAAATAAAAAAAGAGAGAAAGAGAGAGAGAGAGCTTGCCTACAGTACTGACTGAAGTCGTCTGCTGAGGCTTATCAAAAGTATTTTCTCAGTTAATTGCGCTAACTTGACTTACGTAGGATGATTAAGAATCAGTCAGACACAAGTAAATATCTTGTTCAACTCAAAGCTATTCAGAAAATGTCTCACTTATGCTTGTGAGCATCTTACTTTATTTTCAGATTGTGTCAACAATCTAACAGTACTAGTAGACAACATTTAATGGATAACTATGCAATTGAGGCTGACTGAAAAACAGCCACAAAATCTACTGCTCCACTCTCTAGCCATTTATGCCTCAGGCTATAAGGCAACCAATCTTCCGACCTGGCAAACGTGATGCGATCAGCGACCGGAACGATCCGCTGATTTACATCTACAACGGAGGACGGTCGGTCACGGTTCTCCCAAGTTTATTGTCCTTTGACTACGGAGTAGCTACATGCTACATGTTCGGTACATTCATGCATCCATGCATCCAGTCAATCATTCGTGACAAGTCCCTGCGTTACCCGGTTGGGGTGGTTCCTCCCATGAGAATGGGACCCAATCGAGGAATGGCAAACATTCGAAATATACGAGCTTGACACTTCCAGCCAACCCTCTCGCTCTATTTCCCTCTGTCCGTGTCAGTGTCGTGTTTCCCGCCACCGCCTCGCAAGTATTCAACCATCCCGTGCATTCTCCGCCTCATCGCGGCCATGGACGCCGTGAGCGGATGAGGGTCCGATGATGCGCAAGCAGACGTAGGGATACTGAACAACCGTCATGGTCATCATAACGGTAGCATCTAGACTGTTCCGATGCAGAGGGGTCTGGATTGCTTTCGACTATCGCCGGTCCTGTCCTCCGTTTCCAGTGCCCCGTGCCTTTCTCCGCGTTCCCCTGACCTGATGTCATCTTGCGCGCCGTTCCCTTCCAAAACAGCCCTCGAGCATTTCCTGTAACAGCAATGAGCAACGGTAGGACGACGAGTAAACTTGGCAGCACTAGCCCCTGCTGCACATTCAAGACCTTAAAAAAATCCCCTAGGTTGAGGTTCGTGGGCTTCACAGAGCGCGGGATTTCGGTACGCTGCGTGGCAAACCGGTCAACATCCGTGCCAAATCCTTGCGCGTTTCGTTGCCCCAAACTTTGTCGATGACGACGAGTACGTATATGTGCTGAGACGGACGGGGACCGAAAGAGAGTGCGGTCAGTTCATACCATGTGCCCGAGTTATGTCCGATTTTAGATTGTGTAGAGCATGGACTGGATACGTACACTAATTATACGTCGTATGTTTATAAGGGAGATGGAGATATAGGGGACTAAAGCAGGGCTCTCTGCCGGGTAAGTATCTAGAGTACTCCGTCCGTACCATGCACGATGATGGGCAGAAAGAGACGGCAGGGACTCCACCGGGAAAAACAACCACAACCAACCCCCTCACCAACAACCCTTGTAGGGATGTCATGACATATCACGGCACTTGCAATCGACGGTACTCCGATCGTGGCTTGAATCCCACGAGGGCCGCGATTTTGGCTCCCGGGGCAAAAAGTGATCAAATGGTGATGGAAGCTGATCGAACCGTCGAACCCCATTGGGATTGCCCTTCAATTGCATTGGTGGCAGTCTAGAGCGCCTCTTGGCAAGTAGATGAAGAAGTCGGGTGACCCAGAGGGACCTGAGGCAGGAGTGCACTGTAAATAGTGAGTGGAGAAGCAGGTGGAGACCGAAGTCGATATGAGACTATGAGGAAGAGGAGCATGAGTAGGACCGCACTGAGAACCCGCCCTCCGTATCATTCTCGGGCGTCGGCATCCTCACCTCACTTACTGAGTTACTAAAGTTGCTAACCTTCTCCTGTACACATGGAGTTAGACAAGTTTCGAGGATCAAAGTTTTCCCTTGGTTAGTACTTTTCGCGGCCCCCCCCTTTTTTTTTGCTCTCCTTAACTTTCGGTGTCTGGGGAGAAGAAAACTACGTCACTGTCTCGAGTCTCCCTCGCTTCGGGATTTGCTCTTCTTATTCCACTTATTCCACTTGCCATTGACCCTGACTGCAGCAGGAAAACAGAAACAATCATCTTAGTCTCGAATTCCTTGAACCTCTCCCCAACTCCCCTCTCCACATGTTCTCGAAACCACACCAGTGTGTCAGTCCCGCTTGACTTGCTTCCAAAATTACTCTCTTCGGAAATCCAGGGCACTGTTAGTGGCGGCTTAGCCCGGTCCGGAGAGGCTTAGGCTATAATCGTCTGTATCGGTGCACTCCACTGTTTCCTCGGCTCAAGGTTGTCCAGCGACTCTCGGACCAGCCAGAGAGCCCCCCTCACCCCCAGTTCTGCAGAGTCGACAGATTGTTCCACCGCTTCGTCAGATCTGACAGGGTGTTTCGCATTCAGCTTCTATACTTCTTAGGCTATTAGCCGATCGGATTGTCCCCTCAATTCCTCTCCCTGGCAAACAGGGAAAGCGACGGGGGCCACTTAGACCAGGACAGGACAGGACAGGACAGGACACGATGACGGATGAAAAGAACTCATCGACGATCCAGGTGGGCTAGACCCATAATAATCGAAACAATTCCCCAAAGTCCAAGCACAGAGTCACATCAATATCCATCGATGGTCATATTTTCCCCTCATTCCCCACGTGGTCGTTCGCTCCCCCACCATCGCTTGTCGCACGACACCCGCATACAGATGACAGACGGTCACAGACCCCGATCTGACATATCGTTCACTCTTCAATCAGAGGATCGCCCTTGCATGTCACACTGACCGTCCTCTGCCTCGTAGGAACAACCCCCATTAGACTCGATAAGCGATAGTACCAGCGTGCTGAGTGACTACCATGCCGAAGAAATCCTCCCCTATGAAGCGGGTGATTCGCCTTTCCCAGAGGTCCGCGCGGTCGTCCGGCCGGTAGACGATCAGAATCTACCGGTCAACACGGTGCGCATGTGGGTGATTGGTGTTGTCTTTACCATTGTAGGTACTATGCGCACTCTCTTCCCTTGAGACAGCTACAGGGATAGCCACGAGAGGTCTCCAATCACTGACGAGTGCCCCTCCCCTTTGCAGGTAGGAAGCGGTCTAAACCAATTCTTTAGCTTGCGACAGCCGAGCGTAACCATCAGTGCATTAGTGGCGCAGCTGCTGGCCTATCCGATCGGATGCGCTTGGGCACAGTGGGTGCCGCTGGGCTGGATGAACCCGGACCGCCATTTCAACATCAAGGAGCATGCCCTGATCACGATCATGGCCAATGTCTCCTTCGGGTCAGCGGCAGCCACGCAGATGATCGAGGCGATGGTCAAATTCTACGGGATGCCTTCACAGGGCGGATTCGAAATCTTGCTGGTGATCACGAGTCAACTGTTCGGATTTGGCCTGGCCGGCATGGCTTCGCGCTGGCTAGTGGGCCCGGCAACCATGATCTGGCCGCAGGTGCTATCGAATGCAGCCCTACTTTCGACTCTGCATTCGCGCAAAAACCTCGTTGCCGACGGGTGGATCATTAGCCGACTCCGCTTCTTCCTGATTGTTTTTGTTTTGGGGGCCATCTGGTACTTTGCTCCGGGCTATCTCTTCTCCGCCCTCAGCACCTTCAGCTTCATCTGCTGGATTGTGCCCGACAACGTAGTCGTGAACCAGCTGTTTGGTCAGGTGACGGGACTGGGAATGTCCCTGTTGACCTTCGACTGGGCACAGGTCGTTTTTGCGAACCAAAGCCCACTCTTAGTGCCCTTCTGGGCGGGTCTTAATGTCATGGGCTCGTTCGTTTTGTTTTACTGGTTGATCTGTCCGATTCTCTACTACACCAACACCTGGTACTCGGCTTATCTGCCCATCCTCAACTCGAATACCTTTGACAACACCGGCAAGACCTACAACACTACCCGTGTAATGAATTCGGATGGGTCCTTCAATGTAGACGCTTACCGGGATTACTCCCCCATGTTTTTGCCTGCCGGGTACGCTTTGACGTATGGCATTGCATTCGCTAACCTCACCGGGATCTTCTTCCATGTGGCATTGTACCATGGAAAGGATCTGATTGAACAGTGGAAAGGTCGGGATCAGAAGGATGTTCATTCTCGGATCATGGAAACCTACAAGGATGTTCCTTGGTGGTGGTTCGCTGCCGTCACCGTTCTTATGTTTGTGCTGAGCATCGTGACCAACGAGGTCTGGCGGACTGGTTTGCCGGCATGGGCCGTGCTGGTGGCCTTCATTCTCCCCATCATCTACTTCATTCCTGTGGGGATCATCAAGGCCATAACCAATATCTCCAGCAACCAGCTCAATCTAATCACCGAATTTATCGGTGGGTACGCGTTCCTCGGTCGCCCGGTCGCAAACATGACGTTCAAGTTTTACGGCTATGTAGCCGTGTCGCAGGGGTTGGAGTAAGTTTTTAGCATAAGTTGATGACTGACTACCGAATCGAGGCTAACTAAATCTTCCCCAGGTTCGTAGCGGATATGAAATTGGCTCATTACCTCCACATTGCGCCCCGAACGCTCTTCATCGCACAGGGAATGGCTACGCTCATCGGAGCTGTGGTGCAGTGCGGTGTAACGGTGTTCATGATCACACGGATCCACGGTGTGTGTACACCTAAAGCCGCAGGGGGATTTAGTTGTCCGCATGGGGCGGTCACCTACTCCTCCTCCTTGATCTGGGGTAAGTCCGATCTGTTCCTCACGTGGGGTACTTTTGCGCACATGTGTTGCGCAAGCACCACGTTTTGCTTGCAAGCACATGGTCTAATCATTCGGGATTCGACATTTTTAGGGGCCCTTGGACCCGAACGGAACTTTTCCCCGGGCCGCATCTACGGCAACCTGCTATGGTTCTTCCTGGTCGGTCCGGTGGTAGTGGTCCTCACGTGGCTGTTGGGTCGGCGGTGGAAGAAGGTGAATTACCTCTCTTGGCCGGTAGTTTTTGGAGCCATGAGTCTGGTTCCTCCCGCAACAGGCATCAATTTCTCCTCTTGGTGGGTGGTCAATGTCATTTTCAATGGAATCTTAAAGCGACGGAAACCGGCCTGGTGGTCTAAGTATAGTGCGTTTACCCTTGACTCCTCCAATCTCGTTATGGTATTGTTATCAACTAACCCAACTAGATTATGTGCTTTCCGCTGCCCTCGATGCTGGAGTCGCCGTTGCGACGGTCATTATCTTCTTCTGCATTACCCTGCCTGCGGGCAAACTGAACTGGTGGGGAAACTCGGTGTATGATCAAACCACGGATGCTCATGGCACCCCATATCTACCCTTGCCTGCAGCAGGGTACTTCGGGCCTGCCAAAGGGACTTGGGAATGACACTAAATGGGTTCTCCTTTGGATGTATTGTGTAGTCAGTTACTGTATCTACTGTACCCAGATAGATAAATATTTGGTCGACATTGTAGGACTTGAGGGCGATTATTTACAGTATGTACTGTACATTAATAATTGATAAAAGATGTTCGGTTTGTTCTGTTTGTTAAAGCATGGACTTGGCGGAGATCCGCGACCGGCGCTAAGCGGCGCCTGGCGCAGAGCCCTTCGGCTTCCACTGCATCTTTCCCCACAGCCTCCCTCTGAGGGTGCTTCCCCAAAGCCACACCAAGCAAACATTGGTTATTGATTTAGGTTAGTTAATCTTTCCCCAACTCTCTCTCTCTCTCTCTCTCTCTCTCCCTCTCTCTTCTCCCTCATTCTTTCTCTCTTCCTTTGGTCCACTCCCTCTCCAACAACCACCTATTCACCAACCCAAACACCCTCCAGGATTGCAATTCTTCTCTTCAATCCTTCCCCTCTCTTCCCCCTCAAGTAACTAACCCACAAGCATCATTACAGGAGACATCGGTGTCGTCCCGGTATGGCCTGCGGTCCGAGCCGCCCTCCCTGGTCTGTTGCTCCTCTACTGGCACCATGACGAATCGTGACCCCGACTTTCGACACCAGCTGGGCAAATTTCGTCTCGATCCGCTGCCAGTTCCCTCCCATCCTCGTGCCCCTCCAACGAATACAGCTACTCCTGCTGCGCCTTCATACGCACTCTCGCCTTCCTTACAAACATCTCTCCCGCCTCCGGTATCCCAGCAGCGGCAGCAACATGCGCTCCCCCCACCACACATACCTCGATCACAAGCTTCGGTCTCCCCTGTTCCTCCACCTCGCAGCAAACGAGTCTCGACTGCCTGCGACTTCTGTCGCAAGAGAAAGAAGAAATGTGATTTCAGATACCCCAATTGTTCTGCCTGCACGCGCGCCGGTGTTCGTTGTACCATCCCCCCACCAGGTCCTCAAGTCGCCGCAGCCTCCGTGCCCCGTGATCAATTGGAGACTT